CTGCATCTTACAAACGCTTAAGCACTAGGGGGGGAGGAAGGGGGGCGTGCGTGCAAAAATATTGCTGAAAACTCAAAATCTTAACTCCCATCATACTGCTCTCCCTTAGGAGAAATCCTCTATCATCATGTGTGTACGGGTGCGTGACTGCATGGCACAGGTTGATATGGTTTAAATAATTAAGATTCCTTATCAGAGTAAGAGATATGATGCAACCAAGATACTGCCCACGCAAAAGACGAATATTGACTTCTTATGAACAACAGAATCCCTTAGCAAAGTGATTTAATAGCATCTGAAAGAAAGATCGCGCTAAAGAAAAACCTTTTGCAAACATTTTACCGTATAATCATACAAGAAAAAGAGAGCTGAAGACCTGTGAGTTTGCCTACACAGGCAGTAAGACCAACTTTCACAGTGTAATTTTTTCTACCTTACTACTACTAATCAGCCTCTGATGTATTTTGAAGATGCACACACGCTGCCTTGGATAATGCTTTCCTCTCCAGCAAATAACCCCCAAAACCATCAGCACAAAGCACGGCATATTCAACCGTAACCATATTTCATTGGGCCCTATGAGCAGATGCTATCATTGCACACACAAAAAACCCGGAGTATCAGAGCTGATGCTTCCCTCTTCCATCTCCCCATGAAAGATACACTTTATCAAGGGCCAATATAAATCTCATAGCTACAGCTATAGAGTTGTATTGCAATATATCATATTAATATTTCTGGAAGATAAAATACCTAGAGATTAAACATATTAAAACATTGGGTTTGGTTTTATATATGCCATCAGCTATCAAGAATGTGCCCTTAATCCCTTTGAAACAACAGGGAGCAGAGGAAGGAGGAACCAGCAAGCAGGGTGTACATGTGGGTAGTGGCAGCAGAGGGGTCAAAAAAGTTGCCGCATAGTTAATTAATTTTTAATTGCAAACTTTTAAAAAGGTTGAGTGGCACTGCACCAATTTTAGAAAATTACACGAGAGCTGAGCAGTATTGGAGTCACTTAGTGTAAGCTTGTTTTATGGCTTAGAAAATGTAGGTGCAGTAGGAAAAAAGCTCTTAAGTCAAAGACGGATCTGACAAGAACCACCTAATTAGTTCTCTTACACATACTCCACTGACAATTCCGTTGATTTACTACAGAAGGAAAGAGACAGAATTTTTCAAGTGCTGCAAATTCTGTAAATCCAAAGGCATCAAGGAAAAATATGAAACTTATTTCACCTGTTTTTGTACCTTTTCACCTTGGAGTTACAATAACAGGACAAATGCTTCATGTGTGTGGGCAATGGATAAATGCTTTTAATAACTTCCTGAGAGAGCACAGAAGATCACAGTTTTTCCTGCTCCAGCCATATATTTCAAGAAAACATGTGACAGCTGCAAGGAAGCACAGCAGCACGTTCACATTATGGATAAAAAGGCACTTGATTCCTACATGCCCCTTTGCATTTTAGGCATGAAGGAGAGTCCTTTTGGGTGAAAATGCTTTATTCAGGGATGATCTCACAGTTTCCCCACGCAGAAGCCTGGTCTCACACCAGCACACGAGCACCTTGAACATCCTGACGTCACCCATTTAAAAGGGATATTAGCCACAGGACTTCTCTCGTTTGGCTGGTTTAATTACCCCGACAGGATGCCAGGCCAGATGAGATGGTGCTTCTAGGTTCGCTGTACTGTACACATTTCTGATAAATGGGAAAAGAATAGATGACCTGGCAGAAGGCTCAGACAATAACATGTGATTTACAGGACATGAATGCAGCTACTATAAGATTTATCTGACAGCCCTCTCCGATAGTGGACTGTTGAGTATCCGATGGAATGATTTCTAGTCTGGAAAGTCTGCTACTGAGTAGCCATACACATTATTTATTTATTAGATGTTTTGGGTTGAAACCATTTTTAAATGATGCACTTCACAATGCTCAGCCATAAATTTAGTTTTAAACCCTAGAAGGGAGGTAGTGTTATTGGAATGTGTGTCAGACTGAATTAGGATGAGCAACACAACGCTTTTATAAAGTGGCCTTGAATGCAACGTCGATTCTTTCAAAAATGATATTAATGTCAAATAAGCAGGAACACTTTGCAGTAATATTAAATGAAGGATTTCTTTATGTTTTGATAGATTTATATAAACAGAAGCATACACACAGAGACATCTCAAAATGTAGCATGTCTATCAAAAAACCACAACTGTTTTTGTCTTAGAAAATGCCTTTGCTCTGTATCTCAAACCACCTGTTTCTCTTTTTACCCTGCATTAAACACAAAACAGGGTATCGGCACATACACACAAAACTACCACACAAAAGCAGTGCCCTTTTTCCATATGCCTACATATAACAACTCTAAACAAGAGAAGAAATTAAGCAGGTGTCACGAACACTTTCATAGAATGGTATCTGCTGAATTTTTTTAATC